ATAACTTTTACTAACTTGGAGTATGCCATTATCATTTTTCTTTCAATCAGAATTAACTACATAATAGTGGAGCAAAACAGTCATGTTCAATTAAAAAAGAAATTTTCCATTTTCATTTTTGCATTTTCTGTCACAAAAAAATATGCTTTTTTAGCCACGGCAGTTGCTGTAAAGAGCATTCATAGAAAGTAAATAGAAATAATATTCAAGTACTTTGTATTAGAATATTTAAATGTTCAGCATTTGTTGAGGGACCTATTTCACATAAATCATCTTCAGGATATCGCGCATGTTATTTATGTTCAAAATGTATCCAAAAACAGAGTGGACATTTGTATAAAAGACTAGGTAGAGGTAAAACTTTCTTGTCGTATACTAAACTTGGGAAATATTAAGAAGATACAAGTAACGCTCTAATAGATATTGGAAGTTGGGTAATATTAGTAGGGGAATCGCATGATTAAAAATTGAAAGAAAAACTTTTATTGTTGTTGACACCAACTCTTCAATCTTTAAATAACAATATAAAAGATAGTAATAGCTCTCTAGAAGTAAAAACAGATCTTCCTAGTAGCTTCCTTGTTAGAACTGCACTAAAAGTAGTGAAAATCGACTCTAATAAATTAACAGAAAAATCTTATAAAATTACTTCAGAAAAAGCAACAAATATAGGTGAAAAAATAGAAAAAGTTATTTTATCTTTGTATTTCGAAATTCAATTAAAAAGAAACCAGTTAGAAAATCTCGAGTCATATAACGATTATTTCAATGTATTGCCAAATATTATTTGCAACTTCTTTCAAGCTCTAATTATAATGATACAACAAAAGAAACAATCAGTTATTAACAAAAGGAGAGATCAGTATAAACTTCCCTCAAAATCACTCGATATAAATCATGTAATAAAAGTCACTGCCTTTTTTACCTCTATGTTGTTGATAATGGCTTTTCCTAAAACAAAAATCTGGCTTACACATATTATATCATCCTTATGTCAGAACCTAAAATTATTACCAAACTTACGTGAAATTCTTCATTCAGCAAACATTATATCATATACAAAACAATATGAAAATCAGCTTGAAAAATTCTGAATAATTCATACAAATCCTCTAGAAAGACTAATTAAAGGACCAAACATATGGAATTTAGTAGTTATTGACAATATTGATTTTAAAGCCTCTACTTTTGCAACAGGTAATATTTTTAATGTTGTTCGTCAGACCTCTCATGCTACATTGCGAATAGTTTTTCAATTTATCTTTCCTATGACACTTGATAATATAACAGATGATGAACGTATTAATCAACTATTGTTTAGAGAATCTACAATTACGAATAATCTTCTGATTCTATACAAAACTATCTTAAATGAAATATTAGAAAAAAATAAAAATGAATTTGAATTAGAAGATATGCATTTAGAAATTACAAAAAAAATAGATTCAGATTGCAAGGTTCTAGTTAATGTTGTAATATTAGAATCTGGTAATCAGCCAAATTGTAACGACAATGTTCACACTTCATATGAAATATATTGCAAGGATTTGTCTATTTGTGACAGCGATCATCTTTATATTGTGTGTGATCAAGTGATTTTTGGAAGATTAGTTTCTTACATAGAAATACATTCAGATGTTCAGGTTATTTTGGGACAATGACACATATCCAAAGATATGTATAGCATATTGATTACATTATTTTCTGGATATGGGATCTTTAATCTCGCAGCTACTCTTGGCATATGTTTCTTAGATAAATTTGAACATGTAATTAACTATCGTGCAATATGCTGATTTTAAAAAATGATCTGAATTGCTGTTGGAATCGCATTATATCAATGTATAAAAGATGAAGAGAATTTAATGAGTAATATATTAGAAGGGACTAATAATCTAATGAAAGTATAGTACCTCTTTTTTTGCTGGACAGGATACTTTATCGAGCACAAAATCGGAATTAGAAAGGGAAACTACAAAATGCAAATAGCCAATTTAGCTGCCTTCACATCTCTTTTTCCTGCAGCTGGTAAATCTAAATATGCAAATTCTTCTATATATTTTTTGGCACAAGTTCATGATGATCCACAACTAAGAAAACTGCTAAAGACAGTATGTTTAGTACATCTCACATACGAAGAGTACTATCTTGCTTTCGATAAAGCACTTGAAATATATGGAGTAAAATTCGTTAAGCAAAATATTTTCAGAAATCTTAATGATCAAGAAACTATAATGCTAAAAATTAAAGCAGCTCAAAGCAAAAGAGAGAGTTTGTTAATGCTTCTTGCAGAGTATACTAATGATGTGGTAATAAATCAAAATGCTCATTCAATCCAATCCTGCAAAGACTCTCTTTGGTCACTAGTCACAAAATTGGTAGAATTATTTAAAAACCAAGATTTAGCAAAATATGATTTATTCAAAGGCGCATTAGGAATCAATGAGGAAGGTATTAAAAAAATTCTTGTCTGTTACAAATCTGGAAAATTATGTCTTGAAGCAATATTTAGACAAGATATGTATAAAATAAAGCCATGTATAACTTCTGGACGTAGTGCTCGAGCATAGACTGATACACATATGCTGAACTTAAAAAAGCAAAGAAACAAAAAAGTAATAAAAATAAAACTAATAAAATACTTATTTAAGAGGAAATCTTGTATATTCAACTAAATGATCCACTTGCATCGCCTATAACATCACAATTTCAGTCTCTTGAAACTCCTGAAGCTCATATTTCTATAGATATTAATAGAGGGCAAAGACGACAAAGAACTACAGAGGTAGAAAAAAGAATACTTGCTTCATTACTTGAGTATAGACAATCACTACCAATTTCTATGCTTATGAAGAAAGTTGAAGAACTTAATACAGTCTCTTCAGATTGGACTGTTGATAGAATTAGGCAATATTGGAACAATAATCGAACAAGAAATCCTAATTGATTTTCTTAGACGACTCAAAATTAAAACCTCATTATCCTGCTTGCATGTCTTTCCTCCTCCCGTCTCCCCTCCTCCCTCCTCCAAAAATTAAACAATTAATAAACTCTCCTCAAATTAGGCAAAATTTAAGCAGACTGGCTCTGAACCTAATTTTGAATTATTTGATCTCATTTAAAATTAATGTTACTTAATTTTTCTCCTCCTTTCCCCCCTCACATAAATACAAAAAATAATAAACAAAATTTTAATTCAAGTCGCCTTAGAAAGAGTGATATATATCTGAAAGACACGTTACTAAATTATATTATTATAAATAAACAATATTGATTATATTTCTTATGAACATCGACTAGTATGTGAAATACCTTTCTTTAAAGCGATCAAATCTCCTCTAACATTCTACAAAATTTGCAAATACAGATATTTTGAGTATTGTATTGAAATAAGAGTTAAGATTAATTCAGTGTTTGGTGAAAAAAAGCTAGTAACATTACCACTGTCTTTTTTTTTTTTTTAATGCTTTAAGATAGATTTTAATAGCCGTTTATTCATATTTTTCATATCTTTGAGACAATATCATATCTGATACCATATTAGATATTATCTATAGGTTCGATGTTACTTTTTGATATAAACATGCATTTTTATAGTCCTTAGCAAGTCTATTAGTAATAAAACAATTGTTTTTTAATAAAAAAAAAAAACACAAAATGTAATTTTAAAAGTCTATCTTATCTTATTAAACAGTTGCTTCTAAGCAAACACCAGAAAGTTATAAGTAAAGTGCCATTGTGCCATTAAGATCAATTGAAGCAGTCTTTGTTTTTCACCTTTTAAAAAGTAAACTTTATTTAAAATTAAACAAATTGGAAGAAGATCTTGAAGTTTAGACTAGACAATAATACTTTTCTAGTTCAAATTTAGTTTACGTAAATTTAACCAATATGCAAATTCTTTATATAGAATTAAAGTATATAACTAGAAGAATAAATTTGTTTAAGAGTCGAAAAGTTATTTGTTAAACGTTTATTCAGGTATTTTTTCTAATATGTCGTTATGTTATATGTTATACAAAAATTTATAATTATGAAAATCATCGCAGAGTATATGTCCCATGCCTGATATATTAATTGCTAATTTAATATAGCAATCTGAAGTTTCTAGTATTGACTCTGATCATTCTCTTTTACAGAATTTTACTACAAGTTTAATCTCACTAAATTCAAGTTTATTGAATTGTTCAGTTAATATTATGTGCTAAAATTTGTGAATTTTAGTTTACAAAAAAAAAAAAAAATCTGATCTACTTTTGGTTCAAAAATAATGTATAAATCTGTAATAGTATAGCAGTACTTTTGAACTTTCTTCTCAACTCCAATTCTATAACAAAGCTAATTTAACATAGCAATAATAAGCTAATTCTAGTCATTCTTCTTTGCAAATCTTTATGCAAGTTTAGTCTTACTAAGTTTGTATTCAACAAACTATCTTTCCTAGTTAATATTTTTGTTATCATCACTTAAAACTACTGATATTGGCTTATTATATATAATAGGTTTCATTTTCTTTTTTTTTTTATAAAAAAAAAGTATTTTCAAGAAATCAAAATTATTTTTTTTAATATCAGCAGCCAAAGTCTGAATACAATAATACTAATTAGTTTATATACTCTTTTATAATTATACTTTTCACTATTGAGTTTTTGTATGCTATTTAGCTTAGTTGCAATATATACAGAGCCAAATTTTTTTTTTCCTTTGATCATCACGTCATAAACTTTATTAAGTTGTTAACTACGGCCTTAGCCAAGTTACATGATTATTAAATCTACCTAATTTACTAAGTTTGACATTACCTAGCTGCTACTAGAGTACTCAGGTGTAACCTGTCTTACTAACCAAAAGGCTAGAACAATTCATCTAACTGTATTAAAGAAAACTCCACTAACTTATTCCTCCTTCCTTAATTTCTTTTCCAACTACTTCTTCTATTACTGCTACTATCTATTCTTTTTTCTTTTTTTTTTCTTTTTTCCTTTCTGCAAGCAAAGCTTTCCTCCTTTCATCTGTTTGGATTCTCACTTTTGGCTCATTTACTTCTATTCTGCTTCTTTTAAATTTCGTTGTAATTCCTTTGCTTTTTTCCTATAGAATTACCTTTTCACATCGCTAGTTCCATATAACTTCTGCGAAACTTCTTTGGGTGATAAAAAAGATACTGTCCATCCAAGATCTCATGACATCTTTTTTTTGAGCTAATGAATATATATCTTCAGCTATTTTCTTTTCTTTGAGTCCAATTATTAGCTCCTTTTTTCTTTGAAAGTGGCTTTCTTTATCCTTTGGGAAAAGAATCATTCTAATTTTTAATATCAAGTCTGAATCACCACTTTTGTTGAGTTGGGTCTTGTTAATACCTTCTATTATTGCTTTTTCAATTTCTTCCTAAGACTCTTGTAAAGCTGAGCAACTTATAAGGTGATCAAAATCTTCTAGAATTTCTTCCTTGCATAAAATGCAGTAGTCACTTTGGTATAGTAGTGGCTTTTTTTTCTTAAGCTCGCTGAGTGTTAGAAGACTACCTAGCAAGCACTTAATCTGCATAATAAGATTTTTGCTATCCTTTATCAACAGGCAATTTACATCTCTTTGTATTTTGATTCTCTGCTATAACCTTTTCCAGTTATACTTTGAGCTTTCGGCTATGCTATCCTTTCTTTGATATACCTACTTATAGAGCTAAATTCACCTTTGCTGATTTTTTTAATATCAGATAATCTATCAAATTGAATCTATTCAATTGTATTTTCATAATTATTAGCTCTAAGTTAAACTTCTCTAATACAATTATTAATATTTTTGTTTTAACTTGTCTATTCTTGTATTGTGATATCAAAATTATATACTAGATATCATACTAGTTTAGTGTTATTTTTATTACAATATGTATATTTTTCATATTTTTCATCTGAATTATAATTAACAAGACCATAATGATAAGTAGGATTAGGTTCATATAACGAATAGAATCTTTTTAAATCTATTCAGAAAATTTATATTCATTCTTTTCTATACCAATTCTATAATAATAACAAATAGTAGTTTTAAAGATTTTAATAGAATTTTTCATTTTAGCTAATTTTAAGTAATATTTAAATGCTTGTTGTTTATCTATTTTAACTCTAATTCTATGATAACAACAAAGGCTAGCTTGAAATATTCTGTTAGAATCTCTCTTATCTACTGATATTTGAAAGTATGAGTTTTGTATCAAATTCATAACCATTAAAAAGGCTTTAACCAGTTATTATTTCTGCTATAATAATACTAAATCTATAGATATCTGCTACTTGTATAAACTATTGTTTGCTTGATAAAACTTCAGGAGCAATATAAGGTATAACTCTACAAATATTTCCTTTAGAATTATATTCATTTTTCTTTCTAGATAATTCTAGATCTGTGATACAAGGTTATATACTTTCATTAGTATGTTGGTCTTGTAAAATATTACTACTATAAAAATTAGTATAAATGTACTTTGCTAAGTAAATATTCTCCAACTTATATTTCATTTATATTTTTCTTACAAGGCTTACATAATTGAAAATCTTTCAATCTTTGTAAAAGGTCTGCTTATTTCCTTTAGTTAATATATCTAATCTTCAGCAAATATTTAATAAATTAGTTTTTGATATATTTGAATCTACTATTATAATAACTACAACAAGTTTTATATACTATAAAGCCAGATAATAATCAAATAGTGAAAGAAAAAAGCATTAAAGATTATCTTATACCAACTTACTATTAAGTATCTAAACCTGGTTAGTTATATAGATCATCCTTATGATAATATCTCTTGTATAACTATCATCAATGCAATAGCTCATTCTAATACTCTGATATTGTTAACAACTAAAGAAATTTTTAAATCTTAAACTATAAATATACTATATTGTATTTAAATAAGAATAATATTTATTAAGTTATTAGAGTATACTGTATATTATTATTATTTGTATAGTAGAGACTGATCCCAAGTTATAAAAGAATAAAAAGTTAAATAAATATTTTTTTTAAAAAAAAATTTTTTACAAAAAAAAAAAAGCTATATGGCTATGTAACTAAACACTAATTAATTATATAAAAATTAACTATATAAGTTTGTGTAGCTTTATTTATAAGATGGTCTAAATTTTTTATCTTAACTTTTTAAAAAATCTGTACATTTCAAATCTAGATTTTTAATTAGTAAAATTACATCATATTAACTTAGTAATTGCAGATCATTTTCTTTAGTTAAATAGCAGATCATCAATTAAAAACTATATTATTTAAATATTTTTTATAAATTTGTAAATTAATAGTATATATAATCTAGAGTTTTCTCCTAATCTATTCTTAGTTTAAATTTAATTTGAAATAATTAGTTTAACTTTTTCAGAAAATAGGAGATGTAATGTCATATTGAGTACCTAAAACATAGCACAAATATTTTAGAAATCTTAACTATTATACATAGACTTAACTCTATTTTTTCAATTAATAAAGTTTCTACTTTGGCATTATAAAAAAAAAAAATAGTATATATAATCTTAAAAATATAGTTTAAAATAATAGTTATTGAATGAACTTTTTCAAATGATCCTTTATATCAATATTTTCACAAAATACTGACTTATGAATATTATATAGTTAGTTTATTTTTATATAACAAAACTTTGCTGAGTAGCAACTAAATTCAAGGGTTTCAGATTGCATATGAGCAATATGAAACAGAGTTAAAAAAGACTACTCCTTGTGAGTTTGGCTCTCTGGTAGAAGTCTACAAAGCTATCAAAAAAATAGCTTTGGTAACAACTAAGGAAATATTTGTCAAGTCATATTTAAGTAATGGCAAGAATATAGACTTAGTAAAATACACTATTCTATATAACATATACTCCTACAAATCTTTTCTATTAGTATTTCTCTTATATAACTCTTCTCTTCATTGTT